CTCTTTGTTTTATTTAGATACATCTACTCAGTAGAATATGGTCGTGTGGTAGACACGTTAAGAGGACATGAYGATGCAAGTAAGTCGAGCTTTAAAGAGCATTAGAGTGGGCCTCTGCTTTACTGAMGTKTAARATARATARAATAAATCAACTTTGTTTATAGAGGWTGACACTTGACAGTAACTCAACTGATAAACTTGTGGTCCTCACTCTCCTGCCCACCCCTTCCCCCCTCCCATTGGGCCTGAAACTCAGGTTACATCTATAGTTCATTAGGGACGGCAGCGTTACCATTGACGTGGCCATCCGAGCCACGTGAAGGTCTAACCATTTGCAGATGTAATTACGAAGGCAGCACCTTCTCCTCAATTTTAAGACCCTGAGTGTTGGTCCGGCCGGGGCTTTAACCATAACCTCCCGCAAAACAGACCGACATGACACTCTTACCTTACTAAGCTATCCGGGTGGCGGTTTACTTTATTTGTTTTCAGTATCATGTTTATGCTGGAACGATGGAATACTAGTTACAGCCTCTTGGGATTCTACAGTCAAAGTAAGACTCTTTAAAACATTGAGTGGGATTCCTGTGTGATAAGACACTTCAAACCCGAGATCCAGATACACGATGCACCTCAGGCATGCAATAGTGAGCTTGAGTTCTGCTGATTGTGTGCAAATAAGGTCCATACGATCTACTACAAAATTAAMGCAGCTAATTAAATTAAGGACACCTCTATATTATAAAGGTTTCAGTTRTCACAAATGTATTATGACAGGGTACTTTACTTTTGAAGTATCTAGTATAGAAGTAGTAACCTGTAGATCTTGAATGCGTTTTTCAGGTATGGAAATTCCTTCCCGAGCCAGACGGCAAGAAACCAGCTTCGCCGCTAATACTGGTAAGCAAGACATGACTTATAATGAAATTTAAAGTAATCTTGTTTCTCTGGGTTCTCCGGTTTTCCTCCCTCCATAAAACCGTACACACTAAATTCCAATTTAATCTTTGAGTTAGCCTTGCCCGGACATAGATCACCATAATGGTTGTTCCAGGGTTTGGTCTGTGAGCTAGCATCGCCCTGACCTAGATCACCATAATGGTTATTTCAGAGCTTGGTCTGTGAGTTAGCAGTTCCCTGACTTAGATCAGCCCAGAGGTTGTTTCAGGGTTTGATAAACTTTTCTTATTTGGCAACTTTTGCGTTGAGTTTATTTGATATTACAGTCTAACTTGAAACACGAGCCTTATAGTGGTCTCACATCAACAAGTTATGTCAGTGGGCGATTATCTCCTAACTTCTTCCTTATTCTTTTTTTTAGGCGGAGYTGGATCATGACACAGAAGTAAGTTAATTTTTATTAAAATATCTTAGGAGGGAAGATTTATATGATTAACATCTTGAAGGCTTTTTCTCCAAGTTGGCTTTTGCCTAGAAGGTGAAGTGCCAAGAAGAAACGCCGGTGGATGGGTGGGTGGGTGAGAGAACCAGTAAGAAATATAAAGAAGAAGCTTACTGTGACATTCCTGCTCCTATATTAGGATGTCATAATTAGGATAGTTTATACCGCACGCGCCGACCGTCACGGCACCGTCACGGTCACGAAACGTCACGTCATATGTCCTTTATCAGTAATTCCATTCATACTAAATTCTCATAATCTATTATTGTCGTTTTAGGTGAATACGGTGGATTTAGATCCTACCAATACCCTTGTAGTTACAGGGACTAYGGATGGTAGGTCTTTGTAGAAAACTGTCGATAGTAAGATTATTTATGTGACTTAAGGCGCGATTACACGGAGCAATTGCGAAACAATTTGCAGAACAAGTTGCAGAAAGTTTACACGGTGCAACGGAGACGCAATCGTTGCCAAAAGTATAAACGAATTCTACTTTTTGCAACGATTGCTTCAACTTGTCCGTTGCAACAATATTTTTCAAATTGCGCTGTAGGTTACACGCTGCAATGCTCTATGCAACTTTTGTCGTAATGTCGTAACTTTTGTTTGAATGTTTGTCACTTTTCGTTTCATTTTGTTTTTGTCTTTTTCTCTCCCCCTCTGCCTTTCTTTTCTCTCCTCATTTTGCTGTGCTAAACATTCCACTTCTCTAAAGGTATGTCAGTATCTCCAGATGTCTTTGTTATTTTTTTCTGCATAATTAATAAAAGATATTTATCTTCAGCGCTTGTATAACTAGCCCCAGGTTTACCGTATTTAGATTAATCTGCTATTTTTATTTGTACTTAGGWAATGTTCTTCTGTGGAATATCGATCAGCAAACAATATTAAGTCAACATCATAGTGAGTAACAATTTTTTTCTTTTATAGCAAGGAATTAGTAGTGGCAGTTTTCTCAAGTTATTGTTGCGGAAACCGCAAAGCTCTTTTTATCCAATCGTAACCAATTTTATCGAGCCCTGAAACAACCTCTGAGCTGGATAATTTGAAATTTAGTTGATAAACAGATAAAATAAATAAAATTCTAAACAATAATTCTCTTGTTGCAGTTCATAGAGAGACAGTACACTCAGTTCTCTTCAGTCCAGGTAAGAAGAGTTGCTAGATAGAATAGTCTCGTACGTAGGGGAGTTAGCGTTGCGTGACGACACTAATAGCGGCTGCGTAGGAGATTATAGATGGAGTATTCTCCTACGTATGGGAGTAAGCGTTGCGTGAAGACAGTAATAGGGGMTGCGTGGGAGACTATAGATAGCGGCTGCGTAGGAGACTATAGATGAAGGCGTCTTTAAAAGGTGCTTGGAAGAGCACTGAAACTGGYACGGCAAATTGTACGATTTCGCGTGTGTGATTAGCAGTCAAAAACACATCTGATTAGTTATGTATAGTGAGTTTGCTAATTTCAAGATCATTCTCTAATGTTGAGTGTTTTTTTTTTTTTTTATAGACGGTCAAAGAATTTTCTCGTGTGGTTCTGATCACTCGATGAGAGTGACAGACGTGCAAACCGGRACAGAAGTCTTCTCGAAAAATGCAGGCGAAGAAATAAGGTTTGTGTTTTGTTTCTCTTGAAATTAAGTTAAAAACCATCGAGGACAGGGATAATATTTGAAGGGTCGCGCAGAGGAACAGCCCTTTCGTGTAAATGAAAGCATTTGTTTCAACATTTTGGCCACTGGTAACTTTGACTGTCTCAATTAGAAACTTTCGAAGCGTGTAAATGAGGGATCCTTAAGGGACGGACCATTAGATAATTAATCCGAAGGGGGTTGCGTAAATTCTCAAAAAAATATCGAGCAAGCACCTCACCTACGAAAAAACAAATCGCGCAGCCTCTCCTTTCAGTAAAGAAATGTCGAGCAAACATTAAAAATTGCATGCAGGGGTTGTTACAATGAATGTCGTGAAACGTAAATTAATGCATCCCCTCTCCCCTCAATTATTTAACGRTCCATACCTAATATAAACATACTCCTACCCTTGCCATATTTTTTTTCGTGGATGATGGGTACATAGACTATTTTCGCAAGTACCATGACAGACTCGTACCCAGTCGCTTCTCTTCTCTTATTGATCTCACGCTGTGGTTGATTGRAAGGATTTAGTGAGTTCGCGGTGTATCAAGGGAAGGAGGGAAGAGAAAAGCCTTCAAAAAAGCCTTCGCGCGCATTTAAAAAACGTGAGTGACGACTGGGTACGAGTCTGATACRATGACAACAGTTGATCATGTGGTACATCCAGACACCGATAGAAGTGACKATACGTCTTGTTAGTTRWTGGTTGATATATGATGTCATTGGAYTATCTGCAGGTGTGCCGTGTGGGATGGGCAAATGGTTCTAGCAGGAGGAGAGTCCGGTGATCTTCAAATATGGGACTTATTTCATGTACAGCAAATAACAAGCATTACGGCGCATAAAGGTACTGCTTTTTAACCCTATAGTTAACAAATAAAATRGCTTTTTCCGTGCTCCGTTCGGTAATAAAGCACGCAGAARTGGAGTAAGCACGAAAGAAGTGTAAGGAGAAGTGCTTACGGCGCTTCCTAAGTGCTTTATTACTGAACAGAGCACGGAATAAGTTGTTTTATTCGTTTTATTATATAGTTACTAATTTTACTTCGGTATTGAATTTATTTACGCAAAAAGAAAGAAGGTCACAGGATCTAGCAGCACTTCGCGTGCGCGGATGGYGTCAGCACAGTGCTCCGTTCACTCAYAAAGCACAGTTTTCGACCAACCAGCGCTCGCGTACTATCCTAACTACGTAATAACAAAACATACATATCCACTGCGCACCAATGATTGTTCCATCTTGTTTATATGTGTATTGCAGTGCACACAAGTCCCTAAAACCGTATGTGCCACACCCTAGCTTTTAGAAGACTGAGAAATTCTTTATCGAGCTGTTATGTTATGACTTATTTCTGGGTACGACTGCTCACAAWAGCCGCTAAAATAAAGCGATAAATGTTCTTAATGATTTAACCTCCGCCTGAGAATATTAGACCTTTGGACAACAAATCCTGTCATGAAGAACGCGTTAGAAAAATCTTTATAGAACTGCTTCTTGTYTTTAATCCCGAACTAGTTTTTCCCATRYGATGGACGTCACACTTAAAAGCTCTATTACGACTGTGAATACCTYTTTAACATATTTAAATGTACCTTCTCTCAGGTGCTATTCGATGTATTGACGTGTCAGGTGATGGGTGTTTCGTAGTAACTGGAGGAGAGGATGGTCAAGTCATTCATTGGAAAATCAAAGTTTAACAATAGCATTACTGTTGCCTTGGTAATATGCTCAGCTTCATTGGCAGCGAAGCCGCGTCGTGGAGCTGAACATGTACGGTTATATTTAGTTAGACTTCAAAGCCTATGTTTAGATATTTGATAAACTGAAGATGCATAGGTTTGTTGGCGAGAAAAGTGATGCTCAAGGCAACGTTTGTTACAGTGGTAGTCATGGTAACCGTGGTTATTATGGTAGTCTTGGCAACCGTGGCTACAGTGGTAGTCATGGTAACCCGGTATAATTTTTTATAACTGCCATAATGAACGGAGATTCATAGATGCGCGAAGTATCTACTATTGGTGGACATAGTCATGAACAACCATCTATGATCTTGACTATATGTATCGCGTGATGATCATCACGTGGCCCTACGATCCTTATATACCCCAGGTGATCRTATTCACTGTACCTCACTGTACAAAGAGGTCATCGTTATCGTTATTTTCTCAATCGATTGTTGAAAAAAAATCACATTATTTAATGAGCAAAAAATTATSAATTTGCGTCTATGACAAGCAAATGTTTATAACGTGTTGCAAAGGCAACCCAAAGGCTTTTTAAAGTTTAGAAAATTATATTTTCCTACATTTAGTTTAGAATTATTTTAGACGAAACGGTTTTACATATATTTTATAAAAATTGCTTCCATCCCACACTTCCAGAAATGACAAAATTTATCTGATGGGCATAACTGACTCCCCTAGTAGAAGCTTGGAAAGAGCCTTTGTAAATTATTTCCTAGTTTGTATTACAGCGTATGTAAATGACTGAATTCTAGATTCCAAGATGTGGGATCCTTGGAAAACATCATTGAAAAAAAAATTGTTAACCACATACATTTACTATAATGTACTGGCGCAAAACCCAAGCTTGGGCTCGCTGTGCCGACACTTGAGCTTTCTATAGTCTTTAAATCAAAGTAAATTGATAGTTGAGCGCGGAGTGATAAAATGTGCAAAATTTGTTCTCCAACTCGCAATGCAACATGTAGCCCTTGCGCAAAGAATTCTTTGACTCGAATAATCCGCCATCTTGATTTCCATAATTCTTTGTTCGTCGCACTCTTTACATTTTTGGGGATGTAACTTGGATTGCAAGATTAGTTACCTCAAAAGCCTCACAAATATCTACACCAATTCACTTCAATAAAGGTAGTCATTTAGTACTGGTAATATTAAATTGAGGTACTGAAATGAAAATATTGTGAGATAATTTATTTGAGATGTTGATATCAAAATGTCAATTAAAATTCTATCGTAGATCTAACACTCACGGGTACATAAATTCAACATTATCGCTGTTATTTATTATCGTCAACATTCATCGTCGTTATCATTATAAGTCACCTATCATTGATCAATATTATCATTTATAGTCATCCTCAACATCCTGGCGTCGCCATTAATTCTTCGATTGCATGTTACGTCRAYGCGGCCTYYYTGGACGCCTCTCGGGACGCATCTCGGGACGCCTTTCGGGACGCCTCTCGGGGTAGCCTGCGTTCAGCCGATATAATTTCCTAGAAATAAATTTCCTCGAGGAGATTGCCCTACAGTATTTCACTATGACGTCACATCAAAACAATCTATTGTTTAAACGCAAAGGATCATGGTTGTCGGAGGGGGTCAAATCAACGCAAATTCACCGAAAATTGTTCTAAGACTCGTATCAATCCACGAATAGAAGTAGAGTAGCCAGCAAACGCTCAGAATATTTTTTTTAGAACATATTAACACATAATATATCTGAAAACCAGATCACACTGCTTCTCTAGCGGCAAATTTTGTTGAATTTTCTATTGGATTTGGCGATTTATCCCCCACATAAACAAGCAGTGACGTCATAGTGAAATAGGGCAATAGTCCCCTTCACAGTTTCCTGCGCCATCTTGAAAGGTAGCCGGGCCTTTGCATCGAAGCGAGACGAATGGTGAGCTTGCAATGATAGAGACCYTTTTTAACACCTTTGACAATTAATCACATGTCTCTACCATTGCATGCTAAACGTTCGTCTCGCTTCGATGCAAAGGCCCGGCTACCTTTCAAGATGACGCAGGAAACTGTGAAGGGGACTATTATACCGGCTGAACGCAGGCTACTCTCGGGGTAGCGTTGGTGCCATTTGACAAAAGATTTCTAGCATTCATTGTTAATCGCCCCAAGATGGCCGCCATGTTTTTTGTCTCTCTTGGGAATGCTTGCAAACCATCAATAATCACTTCATTCGTTATAATTATTTATRAACATTTCTCATCACCATCTATCACCATTATCAACAATCATCATCATGATTATTATTCATTATTGTTATCATTTATCAACATTATGAATACGTTACATATAATGGCAGATCGCTAACTCCCCACAAAATCATATGGCAACGTCATAGTTTCTTTTTTTCTTTCTAGAATTTTACCATTTTATACCACATTTGTCTCTTCGTCTTTTCTTCCAACCAAGTTTTTCAACAGCCTTTTATCCATAACGAAACAGATGACTGGAATAAAAACAAAACTTAGATATATATTGGTACTCAGGGCGGATCCAGGGTTTTTTGAAGGGGGGGTCTCAGGAGTAAATTTTGTGGGCAAAGGAATCCCAGTCGCATTTTTACCACAAGAAGCTTATTTGACCTCAGAATGACAGGGGGGTCGCGAACCCCCCCGACCCTCCCCCTGGATCCGCCCTTGGTACTGGTCCAAAGAGATGMACAGCTCCATTTGATACTGCCCTGGTTAAAGGAAAACATAGCGAATGATACAGCCAGGGAAATCGCCGATAACGAATAGCACGATAGTAAAGCAGTAACACTTTTGCTGAAGGTGATTTCGATGGACGCTTGTCTTGGACCAAACATGTCGTTGATCATCTGC